ATTACCTTATGTAGGCTGTTGTTTTTAAAGGCATAATGGCATGTGTCACATATGCTATCAGTATAAATATTTACACAATCATTAGAAAACATCTGTAAAGCAAGCAACAGTGCTTGTACCTCCGCCATCTGGGCGGAAGTGTCCTGGACTTTTATTCTTTTTACTATGTTACCAGAAACCACCACAGCAAAACCAAGGGAAGTGTCATCAGTAAATATCATATGGGCCTGAGGAACAGGAGTCATCTGTACTGTCTTGGGAAATATAACAGGATGCAATTTAAAAAATTGACACACATCATTGGAGCATATCAATATGGCCCAATCATAATCATTAGCTTGTAACCATGTTATTTGAGACTGGGTGTATGGGGTCACCACAATATCTGGCTCCTTACAAACAGTTTGAACACTTACCTTGATTTTCTTAAATATAATCTGAGCAACAGCCTGAGGATAAGGAGAAATGGTTTTCACTGGAGAAGCTGGGGAATGTACCCATAGAATAGGACCTGTTTGTCAAAACTCTCTAGTAGGTGAATGAGAAAAACAAAATATCTGTGACCTAAATAATGATAGGAAAAGGATACTGGTAGCTTTTGGGGGGCTCTTTGTAAATTAGTCAGGCTATGAACCTCTTGTAATTTTGAAAAGGCATCAAAAACAAGTTTTTTATCTTTAGCAGCCAATAAAATATCATCCATATAAATTAATCACAATTAAATATCAATGTTTAGGAATTGCCACAGGGGCAGGCAACACAGGCAAACCAGTCTGTGTTGCTTCCATGAGAAGCATGTTTTTATTTACAGTTCAAAGATCTTGTAATAGTCTCTATTTTTTTTCACTTTTTGTAGAGGCCAGTTGGGATCTCAGGATTCTTGTGAAATTGTAGATATATCCAGCACCAGAATCTAATAATGTTTTTATCTCAATTCCATATAATTTTATTTTTAATTTAGGCTGTTTATCATTGATAGATGTTTGTCAAAATACCTTTTTTTGTACTTTTAAAGCCTCTAGTATTACGTATAGGCACCATTTTGTATTTAAAACATGAAAGCAATAATAGTTGAGCAATTTTATCATCAGCTTTTATTTTTATGGACCTTTTTACATATGTCAATTATAAAAGCATTAAATACAATCTTAATAGGATTTGAAGAGGTGATGTTAGGTAATACTCTTAGAGTATTTTTATAAAATCTTAAAAA